ATTTGAGAACGATACAGAAGAATCGTGAGTCAATGTCCAAGCCCAACAGGGCAACACCAACAGCATAACCCAATGTAGCTCTCTCTCCTGAATGGCGCCAGGCGCCCTATCTACTCTACAGCCTAAGCCTACAACTACAGCAATGAAAGCAACCAGACAACTTGACGACCAGCGAGTGATGATGTCAACACCAATGCCGACTTCCACCTCCACCAGGTACGTCTCCTCTTTCACCCACACTCTCCCTTGTTATCCCACACAGCGCCCTTCACCTCCGAAGAACCACCTTCGCCCTCACCTCCCCTGCGCCCTCAGGCAGCCCGGCTATGGCCGCCAGCGCCCTGYGCMCAGGCAGCGCTCCACCGCTTTAGCGCTAGCCTGCCTCCCCTCAGCACAGCGCAGCTTTGCACAGCGCAGCACCTCGCATTAGCGCAGCGTGCCCGCAATGCCTGCATTGGCCAAGGATCCCTGCCCACTCGCCCTGCTTGCCTATATGCCAGTGTTGCGTGTGGGCGGCCTCCCTTCAGCGTGCGACTGGGCCCCAGTGCCTGAACCCAGGCCCGATGCAGTTGGGGCCCGGGTGATACAGTTGCGCCTCTTTCGTCAAGGCCTGCGGCCAGATTCGACAGTGGGCCGATTTCCCTTTGGCATTTTTGGCCTCTATACCCAGCATGCATTGTCGGCCTCACGTTCAAGTGCCCAGGGCCTAACTAACTCAGAGGCCCTGGGATCTCCACATTTGCAGAGATTCGAGACTTGGTGCACTCCAACCAACTGGCGTGCTGCAACTGTATGAACCCCACTTCGTGAAATGTTTGTACAGAGGGCTCTTGTTGATTTGCTGGCCCGCCTTCACTTAGGGCGGGCACGAGGCTTGCTGGGGCCTTAGCCCAGAACATGTACATCATGGCAAGGCCCCTTCTTGAGGGCTCAATCCTCACAAATGTAATAATTTGTATAAAATTGCCATGGCCGGTTTTGCCCTAAACTGAACTGCATGGATCTACGAAAATGCTCATGCGACCACAAGAATGGTGTGGCAGTTTGGCTGTGGCAAGGCTGCTCACCCAGAGTAATCATCGCGTCGACGGCGACGAGGATGACATCTTCCACCTGGATGCGAATGGTACTGTCATAAAAGCAAGAGTGGTCACGGTCCTCGCCCGCATACAACGTACGGTCATTATGGCCGTATGTATTTGGCGTATCTTGCAGTCTACATACAGCAATAATGACGGTACGCTGTATTTGGGGGAAGACGGTAGCCCAGTTGCTAAATAGGGACATAGTACCTAAGAAAATGTGTTCTCTTCTCCTGAATACAAAGCACCCTCATAATGACTGTATCGGGTTGGAAAGACAGGTTGTATACATTCATGACCAGGGTGCCTTGTGTTCAGGAGAAAGCCGACCGTCTTACCAAGTGCTGGCTTGTCTTATTTGGACCGCCGGTTACTCGTCTAAGTTGCTCTCTGGACCTACAGTCTTCACCCGAATACAATGTACGGTCATTATCGCTGTATTTGGGGCATCTTTCAGTCTAGATACAGTAATAATGACCATACGTTGTATTCCAGTGAAGACGGTCGTTACTTGGTTCCCCAGTTTGCCAAATAAAAATGTAAAAAAACAAAACAAAAAATCATTTAAAAATGGGCCCAAATTTTGAAATAATCCTCAATATCAATAGCCTGTTACCAACTTACCACTCCTTTTTTTTTTTTTTTTTTTTTGGGGGGGGGGGGGGGGGGGGGGGGGGGGGGGGGTTAAAAGGTTGGTCATCTGGGAGATGCAAAATAGTAATAGGATATAAGCTTATGGCTGTGGCACCAGACAACCATTCCCCAAGCGCTATTGGCAGGTCGGTCGTCTGGCTTGAAATGACCTTTCTTTCTTTCTTGTTGTTGTTGTTGTTGTTTTCGTGCTTAAAGTGCATTCTGCACAAATATACGTACAATAATGTTGTTTTTTTTTCCCCCCCCCTTCCCCCAAATAATTTTCAGAACTTCAGAATCTTTCAGATACTCCAAATATACTGAAGTGGTGTAATAGTCAAACAAGGCTGGATTCTCTTCTTGGGCAAGGTCCCACTAGCAAACAGGATAGGATTAAATGTCTGAAGGTGGACGGATTTGCGGAAGCGTGCAGAATCTCACGATAGATCTGTTGTTCTGCATCTAACACGTCCAGATTCGCGCGGTTAATCCAATCCTCTGTGCTTAGTGGGACCTCGCCCCTTGTGCTTTCGTTCTATTGCGAACTGCGCAGAAGGTCTTGCGCACTACATTTGTGAATGGCAAATATGAAAAGGCAATGCAATAAAGGAAAGACCGGAGCCTTGCATTGTAATGTAAAAAAAAAAAAAAAAAAAAAAAAAAAAAAGAGGAAAAGGATACTTGTCCTTTGGGGCATCCGGTAAGATTGGAACGACACAGAGAGAGAGAAGATTAGCATGGCCCCTGCGCACGGATGACACACATGAATCGAGAAATGATAGAAAAAAAAAGACGATCCGAAATCCGAAAACTTGAAAAAACTTCATCCACCGTTCAGATACTCCAGAGAAGAGAGGGAGGGGGGAGGGGGGGGGGGGGGGGGGGTGTAACGGGGGGAGATCTTCTCCTACAAATTGAAATCAAATGACGCTACCAAACAATTGTTCGCACACAGTGACTTTCGAACGGATTGCGGTTGCACTTTGGAAAGCCATTTGGTTATTGAAAAAAAAAAAAAAACAAACCAATTGGTTTGATAAACGTCATCTTCAGTGCACTCTGATCCTCAAAGCAATTTTGGAAAAAAATTAAAATAAAAATTGGTAAAATAGTGATTTGTGTGAGAAATGGATTCCGGTTCATCCATCGGGAGGAAACATAACTTGGCTCTGGAAAATCGTGCACATATACGTATACAGCGTGAGAATGGTGAAGGAACAAAAGGTGTGGATGTGCGACCAAGTGCTTTTGTGGGATAGGGGAAAAGGTTTGACACATGTCAGAAGAAAGCCTTTGCCCTTTTCCATAGTGACCCCTTCTAAAGAATAGAAACAAATCACTGAACCCTGTACTCCAAGCCATAAACCTTAAACCCTAAACCCTAAACCCTGCACCTTGAGCCATAAACCCCAAACCCTAAGCCCTACATGCTTAACACCAGACCTGAAGTTTGTGTGCCATAAAAAGACCCGAAATTCCGCATTTCGCAACTGAATACGTGACGAGCCGCTGCACTGTAGCAGCTAAATATAGGACTTGGCTTGGCTTGGCTTGGCTTGGCTTGGCTTGGCCTGCCTCAGACCGGTACCCGTCGGCCGCAGCCTGTCTGCTGCAAACATTTTGTCGGTCCGGTAGCTTCCGGACTTTCCTGGGGCATGCTGCAAAATTGGACTTGGGACTGTGGGACTGTCGGTCCCAGACGCTTCTGGACTTTTCTTGTCGGGTACTGGACGGACTCCTACCAACCTATGACGCTTTGACCTCTAGGACCCTACGTCCTACCCTACAGCACGGCCCTGGGACTTGGGACTTGTCGGGACCATGGGACCGGGACTGGGTGTCTGCAGCGTGAACCCTTTCAACTACAACTCTAAGGTCCTTTATCATGGGCCCTGTACTAGGCCTATAGAGCACCATGGGGCCACTTGGTGGTTCCAGAAAAAGCAGCCACCTTCTGCAGCGCTCCAACCTACCAGCTTATGGGAGCTTACGACCACACTTCTTCTTCTTCTTCTTCTTCTTCTTCTTCTTCTTCTTCTTCTTATGTTGTGGAGACAGAAGAGCAGCAATCACGCAAGGGACTGGCGGCTGTCCATTTTCACATTTTGCGAGCAGTGAAATGATTTTGAGGTCCAAGACATATAAAGTCAAGGGAGTGTGGTTCGGAATTCCGGTTGTAGAATGAGCTACAGATAGATAGGAGACACAGTCAGCACGTGACGGGTGCAAGCCAAAGGGAAAAGGACCAACAGATGAATTAGAAAGAGAAAAGAGGAAGATGACACAAAGGAAAGAGAGAAGATGCATGACTTGACGTGAGAGAGATACGACCCAGCGGGAGAAAGCCATGGAGATGACTGATACGCGCTGAAAATGGAGAGGCACTGATATAGTTGAAAACAGCAGCATCCCTACACGTTTCGATCGTCCGAACAAAAACTGGCGAAGTACCTACACGTTTCGATCATCCGCCAGAAACGATCTCTTGAGGGGACAAAGAGCGCGTACCCAGACGGGTGACAAACGCTCGCTTAAACCACCAGTACCTACCGGTTAGTGCGGCTGTTAACGCGGTAGCCAAATCGGTCTGCCCCTCGGGTCCATATTCATTCGGCCTGGGGGGGTACATAAATTGCGGTAGGTAGTGGTGGTTTAAATGCTCTCGAACAGAGCCTACGAAAAGGCTTCCAGCAGCACAACCCTTACAATGTCACCCAAACCGATCCTATCATCGAATATCCGCACAGCAAAATCAAACCACATAGTCGAACACAGAAGTGAATCGATCTGAGAAAAGACGTAGTGGTAGGAAGAAGAAAGCAGGTGAGAAGAGCGGAAGAAAGGAACGGGAAGGCGGAGGGGGAGAGAGGCGGGTAAGGACGGGAGGGGGAGAGGGAAAACTAGGAGGGGAGGACGGGAGAAGGAAAAGGGGAGAAGGAGAAGACGAGGAGAGGGAAAAGGGAAGAAAGAAGAAAGAAAAGGGGAAGACAGAGAGCGACAACTAGGGACAAACAGGCCACCCCGAAGGAGGGGAGGACGGGAGAGGGAAAAGGGAAGAAGGAAGAAGGAAGAAGGAAGAAGCGAAGACAGAGAGTGACAAACAGGCCCCGAAAACCGTAGAGTTGCAGGGAAAGAGAGAAAGAGCGCGCCGCCTGAAGCAATAAACAGGCCCCGAAACCGTATAGAATACACATTGATCTTTCCTTCTTTTCTTTCTTTCTTTTTACTTTTTTTTATTTCTTTTATTTTTAAGATTGATCTTTCCTTCTTTGTGAGTTACCTGACCTGAAAGTTGACGAAGCAACGGAGTTTTTGCCAGAAAAGAGGTAGATGATGCGAAAGCCGATGTGCAAATGGATTGATGACCACCACTCTCTTCTGTTCCTTTGGTGTCGTCTCCGTCTCCTCCTTCTTCACCATTTCATGGATCTCCGCCAACCTATTGGCTTGATTGACTTTTGCTCGCACGTGCCGATTGTACCTGAGCGTGCAAACTGAGAGTCAAAAGGCATCAAGTTTCAAGCACCAAGTGCAAAGTGTGCACAGAACAGAACTTCTGTGCAGATTTATTTTTTCTGATTTTTCATGTCTGAAAGTTGAAGAAGGTTGCACAAAGGGTGAAGGGGGGTGAGCATAGTACCCACACACACGATCGCGAGCGCGAACGCGAACGCATCTACAATCGATAGAGGCATGGACTTTCATTGAGGTAAGTAAAATCCAAGGCTGCACAAACTCCAAGCAATTTCCTTCTCCTTTCTGTTATTCCACAAGCGGATGCTGCCTCCCTCTCTCTCTCTCTCTCTCTCTCTCTCTCTCTCTCTCTCTCTCTCTCTCTCTCTCTCTCTCTCTCTCTCTCTCTCTGTGTCTGTGGGTGCGCCATGGTGCTGCGTGGTGCAAATTCCCAGTACTGCATGAATCGTTTTGTGAGAGCGATTTGCTCCATGTGGCCCCACAAATATTTGTGCGCGCTGCGTGCACAAATTCTTTCCGTTCCATGCGGTGGAAAAAGAATCTGCACCACAGAGTACAAAAATACATCCGTGGGCTTGTGCCCCCACGCGGCACTTGCAGGTTCCACCATGCGCCCCGACCGAAAAAAAAACGAGTCCAACAAGACGGGTGGGCTCAAAATTTTCCCTGGGGTTCCAGCAGGACCTGCCAGGCTGGGCCTTTAAAAAACAATTCCCAGGCTAGTCCCACCGTGGGACCGTTGTGGATGAACCAGTCGGAACCCACATGGGTGGGGGCGTGGAATTTTGAATTTTCCTCCCTGAATCAGGTACCGGGGACTGTTTGGGTACCGCCAACCACTTGAGGCACCACCCGTAAGCATCATGGACTGGACCACTTCTCTCTCTTTATGAGTTTTTTTTCTTTTTTTAACGAGTCTTTGGTATTGGCTACTGTGGTGAACATAAAGCTCCTCTCTTTTTTTTTTTTTAATTCTCCTTTAGAAAGGGCGACGACCTGAGGATATCATCATGGAACTGACCGGCCCCAGAAAATTGAAACCGACGAAATTGCGACGACCTGAGGATTTTTCTATTATTATTATTTCTGAAATTCTGAATGAATTTCAGAAATTCATTCAAGAGGTTCCAACTGGATTCGAAATTTCGAACTCAAGTTTGAACAGGCATTTGGTCAAAGCGGACATTTTTTGTTTTTTGAACGAAATTGAAATCGACTAAATTGGACTCGAATCCGCCGGATGGGGGTCAAAATTTTTAGCTCTCGAGGGTCTGGCGTTCTTAAAGTGCCAGACCCTCTGGACGTACCTGGACTCAGCTGGAGTCCAGGGGGTCCAGCGTTTTAAGAACACCTGACCCCCTGGATGTATCTGGACTTGGATGGAATCCAGGGGATACAGCGTTTTAAGAACGCCGGACCCTCGATTTCGTCAACATGTTGACCTGGCTCGGGCGGATTCGGGCCAAATTAGCCATTTTCAATTTCGTTGCAAAAATAAAAAATGTCCATTTTGACGAAATTGCTGTTTCTGCATTTCAACAGTTCATGGGTGCACCAACTGAGCTAGGCCCGTTGGTCCTCTCAAATTTTCAATCCATCAATGAACAGGATATTTGTAGAGAAACTGGGATCAATCAGATTGATCATTGACGATATTTTATTTTATTATTATTTTTCATGAAGCAAAGATTGTGCGAGGCATAAGGCCCCGACGAGCCCCTTTGGGCCCTGTAAGCAGCACTGTTGGCCGCCCTAAGTGAAGGCAGGCTCGACCAAGGCCAAGAGGCCTATTTTTCGGCCACCATGCAGCTGGGGAAATTCAGGCAGTTGCGCAGCGCCAGTTGGTTGAGAGTGCCCAGGCGCTGGCTGCCTTTTTCATACGTAACCGAGGCAGGCCCTGGGCCAGATACAGAACATGGGCCGAACACAGGCTGCGGGCAGTTGGACACAGGCAACCGTCACAGGCCCTGGGCCTGATTCGTTTGGACCGAGGCTCAGCCTCTAGGGGCCTACCGGAAGCTTCTGGGCAGGGGCCCAGCACAGCCGGGGCACACGCAGCAGGCAGGCCACTTCCATTTAGGAAAGTGCCTGCCCCCGCATATGGCATTCGGGCACTGGCTGCATGCTGCGCAAGCGCTGCTGCGCTAATCGCTGGCCAGGCCCACACGCTCACGGGCGAGCTGGATGAGCAGGCAGTCGTAGCCGAGCTGCGCTGCACTATGCTTGATGGGGCGCATGGTGGTCCTTGGGTGCAAGTGGCATCTGTGAGTGGGGGATCGAGGTTGTGAGTGATGCGAGAGACATACCTGGTGCTTGAGGCGAACGGCATTGGCCGAGATCTGCTCGTACTTCGGGGAGCTGTTGACGTCACCAGCGGCATTGTAGATAGGCTAGATAGGATCTGCCATTTGTAGTCTGGGCGCAGAGCGCCAGATAGCAAGTTGACATTGGTTCTTTGTTGATGATGATGAGACAATTCCAACATTGTCACTTATGAGCTTTTGCTGTGCTCTTATTTGGTGGAACTCGTGTTGCAATTCTGTTTTTGGTTCGAGGTCACAACTATCTGGATTCATGTGTATGATGCTGCTTGGTTTCTGGAGTTTGCTATCACTCATTTTCCTTGCAATTTGGTATCGGAGCTGTGGTACGGTGCGCTAATCTGGCGCTTGTCTTCTGCCTATACGGTAAATGCACGCGGTCTGCTGGGTGAGCGGCCGTGGGAGGTGTGTTGTGAGGAGGGCGGAGGCAAGCAGGTGACTCAGGTGGAGAGGGGTATCGCCAGGAAGGCTACGTGGTGATTATTGGGTGTTCGCAGTGTGATGAGAACTATCTGATGTGCGATTGATGCTGAGGTGGAACGGCGGTGCAATGCTGGTTGTGCCGGAGCAGCGATTGGTCATCACAATCGGCATCAGGTCAACTGGTGAGAATATCTGTGGTTGGGGGCAGCTATTTTGAGGTATGTTGCTCGTAACCTTATCTACCCTCTTCGACACTTCTTATCGTGAGGATGTGTGTTCTGTCTTGAGAGTCCTCTCATGTGAGGAGTCGAGTGTGCTCAACCTTGACAGTTGGCATTGTTCACGTGGAGCATCTGAAAGGAGAGGGCGGAGCTATCTGAAGGGCCCTGGACGAAGCACTGGGTCACGGTCACCGGGAGTAGAGCACGCATGCTTTGCTGCTTTGTCCTTTGTCTGCCTGCTGCGCTGATAGATGGGTTATGAGGGGCAGGCCAGCCCCACAGGGGACACGAGTACCGGGCGTCTATAAATAAGCACCAATGGTTCAACTGGCTGTGATCGTCGTCCTGTCTGCGACGTTAAATAATTCCTGAGGACTTCCGGGCCCGTCCTTAAACGCCTCTTGATCAGCCAGGTTGTCCGTGTAAGGCTCGCTGCACGCGAGGGTAAACATTGTGCAGGGCTGGCCAGCTCAGCATACACTTGGGGCACAGGGGTGGGCTGTGTGCACACCTGTAGACACACACGCTATCCGGATGCTCAGGAACGCTGACGTCAAGAGACAATAAAGAAGAACTGAGGGAGGGGTAGGTTCCAGGTGATCAGTTTGGGAAAGATTCCACGCTGCAAACAGCCATGCAAATGGTTCTATTTTTATTTTGATTAGTTAAGATGTACAACCATTGACATCTGACAGACAGCAATAGGTAGAGATCTGCTTTGTGTTTGTGGACTAATTAAAAATAGTTTCGTTTGTAGGAATCTGGACTTACCTGTTGGACCCGAATGTGTAGACTATGACATAGTCACCGATTAATTATTTTATTTATTTTAAATCAGTTTGTGCACTACGCTGTGGTAGGCATTGAGTGTGTCCTAGTGCAGACTGTGTATAGTGCTGTGGCTTATGAGTGACAGGGAGGTTCCTGACGAGGACCACCTTTCACCATTCAGGTGCCCGCCCACTTGCCCGTCTACCCGGTCTTTCATTGCTCCAAGTTGACCCTTTACACGCCGGCGGAACATGACGGTTTTCCCGGACGACGATCGCAAGACCCACCCTCTATGGACGGTTTTCAAAAGGTCGGCAACATCATCTCCCAGCTACGGTACGGCAACAGGCCAACCGAATACTTAGTACACTTTGCGTACTGCACTCACAAAGCTGACCGTTGGTTGATCCATGCGGAACTCCAAGCAACAGCTCCGGATGTTCTCGCACGCTACGAACTCAAGGTGCAAGGCAAGCCGGTATCTTCGGCTCCATGTCGCACCCGCGTCCAGGTTCCACCTTCGGATCGTCAGTTTCGCCCTCGACCGGGCTTGACTTCATAAGGAGGAGGGGGTGTTACATGCTGCACCTGCAACAGGCTGCACGCCGTGCACGGGCCATTTTCAGGCCCGTGCTGTTTTCAGGCCGAAAGCCTGAAAACAAGGGCCTACAGGCCCTGTGCCGTTTCAGCCTGAAAGCCTAAAAACAAGGGCCTACAGGCCCTGTGTTGTTTCCGCCTAAATCAGGGCCTTTCCGGCCCTGAGCCTTTTCAGCCTGAAACTGAGGGCCATTTTCAGGCCCTCATAAGATCGACCTGCCCCGAAACTCAGGTACCAAACCAGGGTTTTAGCACAGGCCATTTTGGGCCTGTTTTCAAGACAACCCTTGGTTGAGCTTCAACCCCAGGGTCTGGCACGTTTTGGCATTGGCAAGAGCAGCCTCCTGGACGGGCCAGCACTATATAGGACTGGCCCGCCCTGCAGGCTGCAGGTAGTTCCTAGGTACTTCCCAGGCACTTCACGTGCAGTTCAGGAGGCAGGAGGTAGTCTTCAGGATTCGGCAGCAGCACTCTGGAGGAGGGCCGCAGGAGTAGTAGTGGCGCTAGCAGTAGTCTTCAGCGCTGGGCGCTAGTAGCGTTAGCAGTAGTCTTCAGCGCTGGGCGCTCTTAGGAGCTAGAGTAGTACTAGAGAGAGAGAGAGATTGGGCAGAGGCCAGGGATACTTACCTGTAGCGCCATAGCTCCAGCTTCGCCTTCGAGGCACCTGCAGCACAGCGCCATCTTCACAGGTTAGTACCTGGCACATGAGAGAGAGAGTTCCTCTTCTTCCTCTTCTCAGTCCACCATCTCCCTCTCACCCTCTCGCTACCTGACTTCACTGCATCAGCAGACTATGAGAGAGCGGGGTTGGTGACATTTGGATCCAGACTCGACATTGGGCTTCAGACATTTTGACGAGGGATTATTTGGGACTTGTAACAAAAGACTTGGTGTTGACGACATTCCCATCTCTCCCCCTCTTCTTCGTCTGTTCCCCTCCTCTTCGTCTGTGCATGATCTGGACCTGGCGCATTCTTCGTGTAAGTAGCGCCAGGCCCCCTTCACACCTTGTGATGAGGATGATGTATGTTTGGTCTGCGTTGCAACATTGATTGGGCTAGTCATTGGTATTCTAGCACTCTGCTGCGCTGTCTTGCACTACGTGATAGAGGTCAGTCCCGGTCAGGTCAGGACTTGTATCTAAGACTTTTCCTGCGCTATAAAGCACCATTTTTGTATGTATCAGAATGTACACTGCTTGTTGAGATTTCACTTGCACTGCATTGTCCATTCAGTCCTTTTTATCACATTGCGGATCCTCAGTTATTACAACAATGAGGCTGGGCTCTTCGCCCGGCCTGGAGATATAGCGGCATGCTTGCCTCTTGGGCGGTGACTTCCAGGCCGCTCGGCCTTCCCAGCAACCGGTACCTCCTCCCTTTTCGGAGGGAATCATCATTGCAGACTCGGATATTGTCCGTACAGGCCCTAGACTCAGACTGGTTGGACTGGTACCTGCCTAGATCTAGCCTACAACTACTGGGCCTCTCAAAATGCCACTTTTGTCTTCTTCTGCTTGGCCTCCAGTACCCGCACATCTACCTCTTCAGGGTGCGGTACCGGCCTACCTGCTAGTTGAGTGTTCCCCCCCCCCTGCAATCCCTCAATGTCACGGCCACAGGTAAGTACTGGCCCTGAGGGCCCAACGAACGGATGAGTACCCTTGCGGGTCACACACACACTCAAGCCAACCAGCACTCAGACAGACATGCAGACCAGCAAGCATGCACACACACACAGACATGCAGAACTTAGTGGCAAGCGGGAAACTCAGCGAGGCATTCAGTCCGTGAGCAAAACTCAGAAATCAGCTGTGTGTCTCAGTCCGTGTTTGGTCGGGTCATCACAACACTGAGAATACAATAATACACTCTTTAACTGTGAGAGCTTGAGAAGGAAAAAGTTCAAGAAGGAAAAAGTTCAAAAAACATATCAGAACTTTACCAGGAGAAGTTGACCGCTGCAGGAACGCTTGTGAAATACATAACTTCTGGAATCAATGCTTTGGCTGGAACATGGCTTTTGATCCGGACTGTTCCTCTAAGGCTGCGGATGAACTTGTCCAAGTTGAAAATTTCGCCGAACGTACTGTTACACTTCATCCGAGGCCAAAAGACACAAATAAAGATATCCATAAATGGACTTAAAATATGGAGGGGGAGAAGACAAGATGGAAAAAAGGTTGGCTTATATATTGTACGCTTAAAAAGTGCAAACACACATAGAAGTGTAAGATAGAGATTCGATGAACGAAGCTAAGATAGAGATTCGATGAACGAAGCTAAGATAGAGATTCGATGAACGAAGCTAAGATAGAGATTCGATGAACTTTCGCCGAGTGGTTGATAGAGATTCGATGAACTTTTCGTCGAGTGGTTGATAGAGATTCGATGAACTTTTCGTCTGAGTGGTTGATAGAGATTTGATGAACGAAGCTAAGATAACAGGCAGGAATCACATCCACTACCACCACGACATCGGCAACAACGACAACAACTACGATGACAACAGCGACAACAACAACGACAAGGTCGTCGACAATGACGATAACAACAACAATGGTGAAAACGACAAGAAGAAGAAGAAGAAGAAGAAGAAGAAGAAGAAGAATGACAACACGAACGACAACAACCAGATCAACAACAGCAGCAACAACAGCAGCAACAACAACGACAACAAGGACAACAAGGACAACAACGGCTTATAAAAAAAAACGAAAAAAAAAAAAATTACAAACACATAAAACAGCACCTCAAAAGTGCATTTTCAGGCATTTTGCCAAAAAAAAATTCATCGAGATTTCAGGATTTTCAGGATGATCAACAGCACAAATTCTAATAACCCTAATGACACCAAATTTGGCACACAGCAAGCTTGTCCAAAAACAAAAACAGCCAAAAACAAAATTCCAAAAAAACACAAAATTTCACCCCGAAACCCTAATTTCAGGATCATTCATGGTTACTCAGGGCCGAAAAGTGGGGGTCCCCGTTAACCGCTTGTGCAACCACAACGACGACAACGACGACAACAACCACAACAACGACAACAACATCGGCATTAAGAACATTAAGAACATCAACAACATCAAGAATGACAACAACAACAGCATCAACGACAACAACGACAACGGCAACGACAACGATGGCAACAGCAACAACAACGACAATCGGCACATCCATTAAAATTGGAACGATACAAGAAGATTAGTTGGCATGTCACCTGCGTTAAGGATGACGCATACAAATTGAGAAGCGGTCCAGTGTTCTCCACATTCACCCCTAATTGCCCCTCCCCCTGTTCCCCGTCCCTCCTCCCCAACAAAAAAGAAAAAGAAATCCTTGTTCTGAAAATGCCCATGCCATGTAACCATGGAGGCATTAGAGGGATTATCTCCCCCACTCTTCTGCCATCAGCTGGAACTGTTTCACTTGCAGCAGGTGGTGTATGTGTCATGTCATGCACAACTCTCTTCCTATTGCCTCCTTCCCTCCCTCCCTCCCTCCCTCTCTCCCTCCCTCTCTCCCACCCACTTCTCCTCTCAATATCTTTCTCTCTCACTTGCCCTCATGCTCAGCCTCATTCTTACTCTCCTCCCCCATCAGTAAGCCTGTGTCTAACTTAGGGTGTCTGTCTGTTTGCTGCCCCCTCCATGGCTACCTCCTTGGGAGCATGTGTAGCTGTGAATCTGGGGGCCGGCTATCCATAGCGGTCACTCCGAGCTGTAAGTTCATTTGTGCGAACCTGAAATTAACTGATTGCAATAAATAGTTGGTTCGGTTTTTTTTTTTTTTTTTTTTTTTTTTTTTTTCCGCTTTTACTTGAAACTTGCATGGCCAGACATTGGACTACCCAATACTCTTCTTGCTTTTTTTCCCGACTTTCCCAGTTCCCAGTACTCCTCCCATACCAGGACGGTCATTTCGTTTCCTTCCTCAGGAGGCTTTATAGTCAGAGTCAAATGCTTGCTAAGCGTCACAATGAACTTCAAATTATCATGAAAAGCCGGAAATCCTGATATTGCTCGAAATGCACTGTGTGCTATTCCATACGTACCTGGCATCGTTCCAAACGGGATTACGCTGAAGATATGGCACAAGTAAAGTCATATTTAGGTGAAGCGCAACAAGGACCGCATTTACTATCTGTTTCATGCGAAAGGAAAAACAATAGCATGAAGAGCCATCGACAACAATCATAACGAACAAGACGTAAATGAATCAATATTGATATTATTGAACAATGGATATCAATTCTATGTAGGATATCATATGCCAGAGCAGTGCAAGATGTCATGCTCCTATTGCTTGACCTGCAAGTCTGGCAGACAATCCCACTACCAGAACAATGACACTGAAGCATTAGGGACACCTTCTTGGTCTTCTTCTTCTTTCTTCTCCTCCTCCTCCTCCTCCTCCTCTTCTTCTTTCGGGGCCTATGCACGTGGGCTGAACAATTACACCGACTTTCGGCGCACGGCCGACTGGAGCGAAGAAAATGGCTGGCCGCAGCGGCCACAAAAGGAAATGTGTCGGTTAGTTTTTTCTTTTGATACTCAAGAGGGGAATTCGCTTCGGCGAAAACAAAAGGAGGCCTCTAAGTACTGGTGGGGTAAATGGGCAGAATGCGTTTGTAGCAGCAAGAGGGGGCACATAGACTGCAGAATTCCCAACTGATGTTTTCAATCATAAATAATACGCCATGACGGGATGAGTCCTGTTGTTGGTGAGCATGGAGAGTTGCCCCATAAGGGCCATGACTGATATCGGAAAGGAACACAGAACCACTGCGCTATTGCGAACTTGCGTGTAGGGAATCAAGCTGACAATCATCTACTCACAGCGGATGCAAAACTCCACAGACTGCTGTGAGTAGGGATGCGATTCAACCCACTTCCACCATTCAACGAAAAGAGAATACTCCACTCCAGAGTTCATAGTCCAAAGACTCGAAACGCATGTCCGTAATCGGTGCAATTTTCAGTCTCGATACGGCTATATCCAGTGGACGGGGAGTATAGATATGCAGCAGAAGCTGAGTCAATCTTGGAACAAGTTGCTACCGCCGTCTCCCGAATAGAATGCCCAATCGTTATGGCCATACTTCGTGCAATTTTCAGTCGCGACACAGCTACAATGACTGGGCGACGTGTGGGCGTTGTACTCGGGTGAAAATGGTTAGTTGCCTCTTGAGGTCTTAGTTGTATCAGATAATTTTTTCTTTTCTTTTCAAAACAAAGCCCCATCTATTCTGGGAGGTGTCAGTCCGGTTGCTCATCACACCAGCAAGCCAAAAGTACATGAGAAGCAGTTGAAGAGGAAAAGAAAGAGCGGATCAGATAAGGGTCAGATACAGCCACCCTTGCAGCTCTAGTCGCTTACACAAGGGGGGGGGTTACTTCGGCCGCTGTTGCATACCAATGTCGTGCAGACCAGAACCAAGAACCGACCTCTCACAGATGCAGTAAGGATAGCACAGCGGAAGACTGAAATACCAATAATCAGACCCAATCAATGTCACGACACAGACTGAACATCATCATCATCATCACACAGTGTGCGAGGGGACCTGGCGCTGACATACAGAGAAGAGGCGCCGGGCCCTGGGCATACACGGATGAGGAGGAGGGAGAAGAGACGAAGGGGGGGAGAAGGGAGAGATGTCACCAACTCAAAATGTCGTCGATACTGATCCAAAAATAGTCCTGCACAATGTCTCTGTCCAAAGGTCAAGTCTGAATCCCAATGTCACCAAATCTCAATGTCGTAAATGTCTCTCTCTCTCTCTCTCTCTCTCTCTCTCTCTCTCTCTCTCTCTCTCTCTCTCTCTCTCTCTCTCTCTCTCTCT